CTTGATATTTTTGACTTTTTAAAAAATAATAATCTTGTGGTAGAAAATTTAACAATTTTTTTATTAAATCTGTATACAATAAAAAAAGGTATAATTAAAGGAAGCTTAAAAATGAAAAAATATTAATATAAATTCCTATTAAAAGAAATAGTAGTAGTTTAGAAAAGTGGATGTTATATTGTAAGATAACTATAAGATAAAATAGAAAAATATGAATCATAGTTTAGAAAGATAAATAAAAAATAGAAAGATAGAAAATTTATTAATTATTAATATTTTTTGTAAAAAAATATTTTACTTATTTTATAAGATTTTAAATAAAAAAAATTAAATTATATTAAAAAAATAATGTAGGCATCTTTAGAAGAGAGTTAAAAGTAGTTTCTATCAAAAATTAACTTCAAAAGCAAAAAATTGATATCCAAAGAAGACCAATTATAAATCATGGTACAAACCAAATCTTGAGGCACAAAATGACCTACCTACACCAATTCTAAGACTCTTTTGATGATTAGAAAGTAATTTTAAAAAAAAAATTAAAAAAAAAAAAAAAAAAAAAAAAAAAAAAAAAATCCTTTGTATATAGGTTTTGGATGATTTGAATTTGCAATTATCTTATAAGAGCTTTGCAAAGTTAGGATTTTTTTGGAGTGATTCTAATTTTTATATATATATATATATATATATATAATAGAATATTTTATGACATTTGTAGCAGATCTAGAAGTAAACTTTTATTGGTTTGTGATTACAAATTTTTTAAATATATATTGTAATTTTGATTTTAATCAAACAATTAAATTAAAATTTATTAAAATCCAAGTTGGTTTGAATCTTAGAAATTGGAATTTGGAGAATTAGTGAAGTTTTTAAAGATTTGCAACAATTTTTTAGTTGGATTGAAGTGAAATTTCACACATTTATTACCAAACTTATTTTTTAATAATTTTGCAATATTTGAGAGCAATTGAATAGTGAATGAAAGAGATATTGATATTGGAAGATTGGCATCAAGATTGGAGAAGGAGGTTGATAGACAATCAAGCAGATTTTGAAGAGTTTCTTTCATTTGGTAAATTTATTGTATTTGTTTTCAACTAAGAAATTAAAAGATATACAAATTTTGAGTCAAGATCAATGGTTTAATTATTAGATGTGGTTTTGAATCTGATATAAGATTTGATTTGGATTTTTTTAAGATTTTTTAGAATTTGTCTAAGATTTCATTAAAATTTGGCTAGATTTTTTAAAGGTTTCATTAGAATTTGGTTAAGATTTATTTAGAATTTATTCAAAAAAAAATTCGCATTTCTTTATTTTTTAATTATTTCTTTAGATTTATTTTTTTTATTTTTTATAATTTATTTATTTGATATTTATTATGATTTCTTTATGATATTTTAAAATTAAATTTGAAAAATATACAATTTTTTTAAAGATTTTTATAGAATTCTTTTATAATTTTTTTTAAAAAACTAACATTTCTTTAATATTTGATTAAAATTTTATTAGGATTATTAAGGTTCAATTGGAATTTATTAAATATTTTATTAGGATTATTAAGGTTTAATTAGAATTTATTAAAGATTTTATTAGAATTCTTATATTATTTTTTATTACAAAATTCTAAGTTATCTTCTACAACCAAGTGTCAAGTACATTCTCAAGCAAGATAACATGTAATACAACATAAGTAGTGAATCCAATATGAAAGTTTGAAGTAAAAAATATTATATTTTTTTTATTCATATTTGAATTTAATAGATAAAGAAAACAATAAGGTTGAAGTTGTAACTTCAATGGCAATTTTAAATGGAACTTCTAGTAGTTTTTCTATTAGAAAACAAGGTATGGACATAGATCCAATCACTGCAAATATGTTTCAAGCATTTACATTATCTATGCAACAACAATAATGCAATAATCACAAAGAAGCTTTGGTAATCAAGCCACTGTAAACAATAATTAACAAAATTGACCAATTTGATAGGAAGGATGTTTCAAAGTATTTGAGATATTATGTATAGAAAATAGAATTAAATTTGATTTTCTATTAAATTAATTTTTAAAAAATACATGAATCTATTTCATTTTTTTTAATAGATTCAGATTTTATTAAACTATGTACAATATGACCATATTTTCTAGCATTATCTTTGTGGTAAAAAATGACTTCTTCAATGTCTAGATACAATATTCATTGATATATAACAAACTTAAAAAAGACAATCTTTTTTTTGACTTAGAATAATAAAAAAATTGTCAATGATCTATTGAACCATATGTGAAATGATATTTATAAAAAAATATAATTTCATATATTTTATAAATTTATAAATTTATATTTAAATACAGCACAATAATAAATTGAAAAAATATATTTTATGTTTGTATTAATGATGTCTTTTTTTTTAATTGCATTTGGATTCTTTTTGATAGAATCTTCAACCAAGAAACATGAGATCTATCTTTTAGGACTTGTTGACTAAAAAACTCATCCACACATTCCTATTATACATAAGTAACTATTAATGCTACAATTGAAGATGCATTTGAAGATCTTCTAGATGCTTAAATAAAAAAAAAAACAAGTCTTTATAAGTGATTGGACCAAAGTCTTTATAAGTGATTTCGGGCAAATGGAATACCTTTTCATTTGCTACTGATGTACTTTAAAAATAAATAAAAAATAAATAAAAAATTATATATATATATATATATATATATTATTTATATTTAAAATAATTTCTAATCAAAATACTTATTTAAAAATTAAATAATTACAAAGACATATTATTAAAATAATATAATTTTTTATTCAAAATCATATAAATATTTGATTATTCTAAAAAAAATATTTTATTCAAAAAGTTATGTATTAAAATTGAATAATTAATTTTATTTCTTATTTTTAGATGATTTATTGATATTTTGATTTAAGTAAATCTAATTATCTGTTAAGGATTTTTTTTTCTTTTTTTATTTCATGTTAAATATCTTACTAGCACTATAAAAAATATAATTCAAAAATTATTTTATTAAAGTAAAAAAGTTATTTATTTATTTATTTATTTTTAAATAAAACTTATTAAAAAATTGATATTATGTATAAAAATGATATCATGTATAAAAATTATATTATGTGTTATTGAATCTTATATTATTCAAAAAAATATAATTATACATATCATATCTAAGAATAAATTAAATTATAATATGTGTTTTTAATGTAATGAAAGCTTCCTAAATGTAGATTAGACCTACAAGTATCTTTGAGTACAACTCATGATTTTATATTTTTCTTTTAGATTTTTGAAAAATTTAGAAACTACTATGCAAGTATTCTATAACTTAGATTTTTATTTCCAACTTTTAGAAAGTTACTTTTTTTAGATCTAGCATTTATTAAGCAAGATCCTCTACTTGTCCTAGCATTTATTAAGCAAGATTAAGAATTGTACAAGTAGAATTTGGTTTACCAACCTCTTGGTATCTATTAACTATTTTTTAGTAATTTAAGGTTATTAAGGACTTCACAAGTTTGATACTTGTTTTGCAACCCTCTTTGTATTTAGGAATCTTCTACATGGCCTTTTTATTTGCTAGTACTTATAGAAGTAAGTCTAATCCTTTTCTGATGCTTCTTAGAATTATCAACACTTCTATTGTACTTTAGTCTTGGTTCAAGTGTCTTTTTTTTCTTTCTAATTGATAATAACCTTTCAAATTCTTTGGTTCTAAAAAAAAAAAAAAAAAAACAAACAAAAAACAAAAAAAACAAAAAAAAAAAACAAAACTTCTATAATTATCTTCATCTTTTGGTTTTTGTTTTGTTTTGTTTTGTTTTTTTTTAATTATTTTATGATACAAATATTATTTTATAATATGCATTTAAATCTTTAAATTTGAGAAAAAAATTGAAATGAGTCTTCTAAAAACCTTGTTTTTGTGTAAACACAAAACATAAAGTTTTTAAAATAGAAATATATGATTCAATACAATATTTAATTATACATGTAAGGTGATTTAGTTTCCAAAATATATAATAATTCATTAATTTCTTAGAGTATTTATGATTTTAGTATATAAAAGCAACAACTCTCATTAAATAAAAGAAAATCAATATCATATTCTAAATGTTATACTAAGTTATAGTATTTTAGTTGTTTTTCTTTTATCTACACTATTAATTAGGAATAAAAAAAAAATTGTAATAGTTTGTTGTTATTATTCTACAATGGTTGTTTATGTATTTTCCAAAACAAATAAACAATGCTAAAGTTAACACAAATATATTAGATTAGTTGATATGTGAATGAATTTAGTACATTATCAAAAATAACCAGTAGGAACATATGTTTACAATAAATATTTCTACTATTTTCTATTAATATCAATAAATTTTTAACACCCAAAATAATATATATATATATATATATATATATATATATATCATTCTCTACTGAAAGTTTATTTGATATCTTTTCTTGCACAATTAAATATTTTATTACAATTATTTTGGTGAACAACATGTTACTTGTTTTTATATATATATATATATATATATATATATATAGATGTATATATCTCTATCTCTATTGCCTAAAATATGTTGTTATTATCTTGTTGTACAACAATTTATCAAGAATAATTTTTAAATAATATACTATCAACTTTATTTTACTTGCACAACAAACATATCTTAACTAGTATGCTTTATTCTTGGAAATATATGTATGACTTTTTAAAAAATATTAACCTACATATACTCATGTGTTAGCTAATCAATACCACATTTTATTTATCATTTTAAACTGATAATATTAAAATAAATCCAGATAGATAATTGTTGTATTTTAATGTAAATGACTGTTAACATCCAATAATTGAAGAAATCGAAAATCTATTTGTTGAGTCTATATTGTATTGCACAAATGAGATATTTTTCAGACAAAAAGTCATCCTGATTGGTGTTGAAAGCCAATTGTTCAAAAGTGTGATGAATTATTGAGGAAGGGACGTCAATTATTGAGGAAGGAATTTACAGATTACGGTGTAAGATGAGTGCTGGGGAGTGAATACATCGTGAGGTCGGCAGCTCGGGGTGCGTATGTTTTATTCGCTCTTTGATTGGGGATTGTGGAAAAACCTCAGCTGGCAATTAAAATGTCGATGGCTGTCCAGACAAAAAGAACTTGGAAACCTCAAAGAAAAAACACTTTCGGAGACTTCATGTGTATCCTTCTTCGATCGTTGTTCAGTCGCACTCTTCTCGAGGAGCTCTTGCTACTGCGGCTGCGCCTGCCTTTGCTGCGTATGCCATCTGCACAGGCGCTAATCTCTCTCTGTAATCTCCTCATGGCTTCGGTAATATTATCTCTGCAACCACGATATCAATCGGGGCAGAAAAGTTAAAATCTCGAAAAGAAAAGAAAAGAAAAATAATGACGTCGCCCATCCTCTCAAAATTCATAAACCTGGAACAATCCGTAGGTTTAGTGCTCATGTCGGTGTAACAGAATGCGTAGAATTATTTGGGCATCCGCCTCGCGCAATGGTTTTACACGCAACCATATTGAATACACTTTACGGACAAGTAAATTAAATAGAAAAGCAAACAAATGGTCACCGTACTGCGGAGGGATCTAAAGAGGAATCGCTTCTCATAATGACGACATGGAGTGGCCCAATGTTTTTTTACTTCTTTTTGTGCGTTTTTATTCCATTCCCTAGGTTCCTCTGCTCCTGTCGAGATTGACATCGAGCAACAATTCCACATATGGTAGGGAGAGGGGGTTGCGAAATTCCATTCGAAAGCGGACATGAGGATTGGAGGGGCCTGGCGGAGGGCAATGATGGAGCAGAAGCTGCTGGGAGGGATCTCCGCATCAGTCTAGCCGCAATGAGGAAGGGAAGGTTGCTCCCATTCCGCCAGTGTGACCGTGCACACTTTCCTCGCCCTCCCCCTTCCCTCACCAAACTCCCAACATGCCCTCCCGGTCGACCATTGACGTGACGTCCACATTCTTTGCAACCATTGATCATGGATCATTACCAATTCCAGCGATAAAAAAAAAAAAAATACATCGCATATCGACGGTACATTCGTGTTTTCACCCGATTTTGACGACCCGATGGTTGGTGAGGTTCCAAGGCTCGTCAAAATATTCTTGGAGAAAGTTCTCTTGGAACGAAACGTCTCGACTGATTTTCTTTTACCACCAGCAATGTGAAGAAGGTTGCAGTGAGACTTGGAAGTCAACTTGATGTCTGTATGGCCACAAGAAAGTGAAATTTCAATAATGTGATTCAACAAGAGGAGCCTGATTCCTCGGGTTATGTCAATGAGAGTATTAGTTATGGAACGTTGCAGAACATTGCAGAAACACGGCCACTAGAAAAAGTGTGGCATTCCAAGGAAACAATATAACTTTCAAGATTTGGGTCAATTACAGGTGAGTTTTATGATTTTTTAGTTCGGGATGTGAGGTTCTTTTCAAAAGGAATTAGTACCTTGCATTACTGCAGCTTAACTGCAACCTTCTTCACATTACAGATCTGTACTCAGTCTTTTGCTTCACAATTGTGCCTACTTCCGAGGGGTACGATTTTTATTTAATTTTTGGTCTACGGGCTGCTATAGAGGAAAATAAAATAAAGAAAAGCCACGAATGCGATGCGAAAGTATTCGGCAATTGTAACTGCCGCTGAAGAAACTGGTGAGATGTCAGCATCCTTCTAACGGAACCATGAAACTAAAGTTTCGGGCCCGGCTCTGAAGCAGAGAAGTTGTGTTGAAGCGCAAATGCCGGTACTCTCTCGGTGGGGTTGGATGCTGGACTGAGTCTTAGATTGCAGCTTTGTGTCCGAACTTTGCGTTGAGCTTGCTATAGGCAACCTTCAGGGGAAACTTGACCAGCAACTTGTGCAGCACAATCGTTGTCGGATGAGCGCTTTGAACCTGTGTTGTTGACCCAACAAAATACTAAAATCTTCAAATAAGGACACACTTGGGAACTGCATGTTGAGATCCACACAGACAAGCACACAGGGATCACGAAAACCAGCTAGAGTCTGTAAGGACCAGGTTTGTTCCTCCACAATCCTCTCATCAAGATTACTGGATCCGCGCCAGCACGTTGACAGTAAGAGCAATCACGGAAAGCAGGTTGCGCTCAATACATCAAAGTACTGCTCCATTGAACATCTTCAGCAGCACGACTTGGAGCCATGAGGGTAACAATGAGTGCAATTACTTGGAGGTCCAGACTTGGTACCTCGTTCATAGTGCTCGGGTTACATTTCGTGGCACTTGCGGCGGCTCTTGAGGCGGACCATCACAAGGGCGAAGAAAGCATCCAGATTCACAGCCATCACGCATTTGTTGGGAGAGAAGGCAAGAATTTCGTGCTCAATGGGGAACCATTGTATATCAACGGTTGGAATTCCTACTGGCTAATGACACAGGCCGTGAAGGAGCGCACGAGATCGCGAGTGACCAACATCTTCAAGCACGGCGCTGCTTTAGGCATGACAGTGTGCCGTTCTTGGGCGTTTAACGATGCTACTTACGATGCGTTGCAGGGGTCTCCTGGTGTTTACTCCGAGCAAACATTTGAAGTATGAAATCTGATACATGACTCTTTCTCAAATTGTTTCTCCACTCTGAATTGGCTGAGATTAACTCACAAGGGTACGTTGACTTTGGTTGTCGCAGGCTCTTGACTTTGTTGTGGCGGAAGCGGGGCGCCATGGAGTGCGGCTGTTGTTGACATTGGTGAACAATCTGCCAGAATATGGTGGCAAGAGTCGTTATGTGCAGTGGGCACGGGACGCTGGTGTGGATTTGGACCATGGCTCTGATGACCATTTCTTCACGCATCCCATCGTCCGTGACTACTACAAAGCGCATGTTAAGGTGAGTTGACGTTGCTCGACGAAACTTAAAGACAAAATCTGTTAGGTGTTAGCCACCTGGATCGGAATCGATTTCTGAAATCTTGTATGATGGCAGACGGTGTTGACAAGAGTGAATAGCATTACCAAGGTGGTTTACCGTAACGACCCCGCTATTTTAGGATGGGAACTCATCAATGAACCCCGCTGTGCACATGAATCCTCAAGCGATGCTCTCCAGGTACGTGAATACCTCTCTGGAAATTTAAGATGGATGTTCTAGCAACAACTATAATTTTCCTCACAATGACATGTGTGCACCACGCCAAACCTCATTCTCACAGTTCAATATTATGCAGGCGTGGATTGAAGAGATGGCTGCGTATGTGAAGTCGCTGGATAGCAAGCACCTACTGACAGTGGGGCTTGAGGGCTTCTACAAGAAGAACAGCCGAGGGACGTCTGCGGCAAATCCCAAGCACACGCCACGTTCAGGGACAGATTTTATTGAGAACCATGAAGTTGCCGGAATCGATTTTGCCACAGTTCATGCCTACCCGGATCTCTGGTACTATTTGACCTCCAAATTTCACAGTATAGAAGTTTCGTTCGTTTCTTGATGTACACCTGAAGGAATTTTAATTTTAATTTATGTTGTCTGAATTTGCAGGATGCCATGGGAGAATCATGCCGAGAAGCAAAAGTTCTTCAACGCATGGGTAGACGCTCACATCAAAGATGCTACCGAGATTCTGCAGATGCCAGTCCTGTTCTCTGAGTTTGGGCTCTTCGACTCACAGCATCGAGTTGCGCTCTACACATCAATGTACGATAGGATCTACGAGTCAGCAAAACAGCGTGGAGCTGGCGGTGGCGCTCTCGCTTGGCAACTTCTCGACGAAGATATGGCACGATTATGGAACGACGGATTCGCCATCTTCCCTGGCGAGGACCACTCCATGGTACATCTCATCAAACGACAGTCGTGCCGTTTGAAGGTGCTATCCTCGTCCTCAGAAGAATACCATGGCTGCGATCAGTCCAAATTTCCGCAGTCCATTCCAACGCGTCATTTCGAGGCCATCTTGGCTGAATATCAGCTTATGATGGCTCCTTGAGCGATCGAGGAGCAAACCAGGCGATAGAAGACCAATCTACCGCATCCTCTTGCAGTATCATATCTACGCAACTAAACAACGACACTCGAAGTATGAAATGATCTCATGTTCGACTTGGAAAAGTAAACCACGCTGCCCGTGAGTAATAGAGTTGAGGTGAGGGTGCTCATTTGTCGAGTCTCAACGAACAGAAGCAATGAATTCTTCGCTCGATTGTAAAACCTCGTATACCTGCTACGAAACCGCATGATAGAATTGCGATAGAATCATGTTAAAAACTGAACTTCCCACACACATACAAACACGACACACTTTCTACTGACAATTTGATCTAGGAGGATACTCCTGCCCGAATCCTGGCAGAAGTGAATAATAGCCAACTTCTGCTCTGTAAACTGCTTCTACATCACATTGAAAAATGAAAAAAAGAAAAAAGAAAAATAAAGAAGAAAATTATGAGAACAGTCTGCAAACGCTGAAGGGATGATTGACTCGGCGATAGATTCACTCACACAGATAGATCATAAGACTGCCGAACTTCTATTTCATCATCTCCGCTCCAGTTTGAAAGTGAATATTCAAATAAACATGAAGGAGAGATCAAGCAAAATACAAGTTGCACATATATTTTCATATATGTAAATAAAAACACCAGATGGCATTACCTTCTTATATATAAACAAACAAACAAACGACGATATGATTTCAAAAACCAGGCGGCCAACAACTCGCTGGTAGGTAGGTTCGTTGGTCACGCTGATGGTGACAGTGACTGGCGCGGCAAAAGCTGTTGCTTTCTCATGGTTGGCTGGTCGAGAGGTCACCCAGTGAACATCCTACGTGGAGAAGTCAGCATGACATGCACGTCCACGTGTGAATCGGGAACCTAGCTGGACTGCCAACAAGGCAGTCCACGTAAGCACCAGAATTCGTCCAGAAGTGTCTCACAAAATACGTCATGAATGTCACAAAAGACTCTAATAATCTTATTTTTCTGATCCTATTCTTTTACTATTATTAATTCCACAAATCTGAATTGAGGTGGGAGTGTATTCGTTTGCTTAAGCCTCATTAATAGATGTTGCATGATTTGAACAATTAAATTTGAATCTATTATAAGAGATTGGTCTCTACCTTTGAAATTTACATTCAAAGGTTCGGTTTGGTTTAGCTATATTACATTTGTATGGATTTTTAATGTAAAATTATGGTCAAATATGCATTAGAAAATGACATCAATAAATACTCAAACTTAATCAAGTTTTGTAATTTGAAGCATTTTAAAGATAAACAAAACTTTCATACAAGAATTTATACATTTTTTTATAAATCTTCATCTGAATCAAATAAGAGGCCATTTAAATATCACAAGACAAGACATCAATGGGGATAGAGATGATAGTAGGCAAAAAACAAATAGAAATAATTTATTATTTATGTGGTTTAAATTCAATCTATATTAGATAAATTAATGAGAAAATATTAGATTATGATATTAAAACTAAAAATAAATAAAATATATATAATTTTAAAATAACTACATACATACAGACATGTAGATATATATATATATATATATATATATTTTTTGAATTAAAGAATAAGAAAATTAATAAAATAAAAATCGATACAATCAAATAAAAGGTCTTACTAAATTGTGCAAAAAGTACTGTAAAGAAGTTATTCTTCTATAAGGTATTGCAAAAAACCAATCCAGATAAGTATATGTATGTGTGTGTGTGTGTGTGTGTGTATTTGCTAGATTTCAATGCAAGATTAATAATAATTAAACTTGATTTACTAGAATTAATCTTAGGAATTTTTTACAAAAGCCTCAATGGTTTCTTGCCAAAGTAAAAAATGGATTTTGAATAGATTTCATTTCAAAAAATCATATTGGGAGCTATTTTTAAATAAAACTGTAATTAAGGAAAATTAAAAGAGAAATTAAAGTCAAGCATTAGAAATTTAAGACACCACAATATGCAATTAGACTTGTGACAAAGTAATATTATTGTAGAACCTTTAAAAAGTATAATTTTCTTTTTTTAATCATAAAGAAGCCAGCTAAATTTTTTAAATGAAGATACCCTGTAAAAACAAATTGAATTATTGTGAACTAATCTATATTAAAATATGTATATATATATATAAATATATATATATACATTGGTATTGTGTAATCATTAGTTAGATCCTTAAAATCAACATTAACCCAAAAATTGTAACTTATTGATTTTCAAAAAAAAATTTATAACATTAAAAAAGTTACTGAAAAAAAACAACTACAGAGAGGGTTGTATTAGAATCAATATAATCTTGTTTTTAAAAGAATTGTATGTGGCAAAACAAAACAAAAACAAGATCTTTTAATCAACTTTCCAAATGCAATGGAATAAGATTATATCAAAGAAAAATATTATTTGGATTAAAATGAAATTACTTTGACTGAAGTATACCCTAATACTGGACTTCTATAGATAAAGTTTTGACACAGCAAAAGAAAACAATAATAAACTAAGGAATATTACACAAAGAAATTGTCACTACAAACAAGTATTTGGTCCAAATAAACTCTGTTCTAAATACAAAAAAATTGTAACTATCCAGAATATTTTAGAACTTGCTGAAACTTAAGTTAATCAAAACTTTTTTCACAAAATACATCTTACAATTTGATCTTCACTGAGCTTCAAAATTCATACAATTGCAATCATACTTATGTTTCCTCATCAGGTATCATTTTTTTAAAAAAATTAAAACCATTCATTGGTGCACTCTTATATCTCATATTCCGTTAAGGTAGACTCACAGTTTTTAGATCTTCAAGTTCTGGAAATAACAAAATTGCAATACTTGTACACTACTAGTGCATTTGCAGTCCTTTACCCCTAGCAGTGCAAAAATATACATATTAACAACCATCCCGCAATCTCCATCAAGAGGGTTGGAGGGATAAAATCGAAGGGAAACGGTCTTTTCTTCATCTGAAAAATGTTACCTACTATGTTTAGTCTTTAAAAAAATTAACCACCAGAAAACCTCACATTCAGTGAAGAAAGCTTATGTCACATGGTGTCTGTAAATGCCTGGAATAAGCAAACTCCGGGTTCTTTCGTAGATACAGCATCCAGCTTGCCCGCAAGAGAGTAGTCAGCCTGAGAACAAACCACAACCATGGTTGCACGAAATTCGAGTTGTCAGCGAAGTGGCAGCCGTTGAAGCAAACTCTTGTCTAACGTTAGGCTAGTCACCCATAATGACGTGCATGGCCACCGCATTGGTGCAGGGCAAGAAATGATCACACAATAACTTGCTTGGTCACGAGTCCTCCTTTGAGAACAGAAGCTTTTCCACAGCATTTCTTCCATTTCTGTTGGGATCCACAGGCACAACTATCGTTCCTCCTTTGCTTGACATTCTTGTACTTCGTACTTTCAGATTGATCCTTTATAATGGGACTATTTTCCAAAGGAGAATCCTTAGGTTTCTTTCTTGATACAGATTTTCCATCACTATAGTTCCTATTACTAATCAGTTTGCCATTCGTGATTGACCTTTGAGGGTCGATTCCTGTGCCATTGGTTACAGGTGCTGATGCAGGTATTCCGTTTGACGGATCCTGGCATACTTCAATGAAATGACCTTGACCAATCGCCTCACTTCTATCATTTGCAAATGCATCCGTACAACTCATAGAATTTGACGAATTGGATTTTGAGCGCTTGATTAAAAATCCAGGACGGAACAGTGGTTTCGAGGATTGGTTTGTGCGCTTCACATCCCAAATAAGCGTGTCAATTTTACACTGGTTCTCCTCGACATCAACATAACTTATCGTGTCAGGAGGAATAGGTACTCCATCAGCAGCGCCTAGAACGGAATCCTGCATCTCCACTGTAGGTGTTTTCGTCAAACGCCTTGATTTATCCGGTTGTTGATCGCATGGCCCTTCACAAAATTGAGGTATAGCTGGCTCAGCAAAAAGTGGTTTGGCAAACACATAAGGTATATCATCCTCTATGGGTCCAACATCGAACGATTCTTCATGTATCTCTGTGCCACTCCTAGTCACTCTTACCGTAGACGTAACTTTTCTGATGTCCACTGCAGGCCTAGGGAGTTCTTCTGTGAGGACACGACTTCGGAGGGGTTTCAAGAACGAGGAAGACTCTCCTGAAGGCTCAGTGCTTCCCATAGGTTCGATTCCAGCTCCCTGGTTTTTTATGGATGACGTCAACTGTAGAGCACTTCGGGAGTGGAGAGACTCTAACTCAAGCAAGGCTGCTGATGACCGGAAGAGCTCTCTATTACCACTTGTCCGACAAGTATCCAATAATACTGATGATCGTCCTGCACCGTCATTAAATAGCACTTCAAATGACGTATGTGGATTCAAGTCGTCATCGACGGTTGAAGCACTTCCTTCATCAACATCCATGTACTGAGAATCCCCGTTCAAACAAGCGCCTGCAGATCCTAGTTTCTCAGGAGATTCTTCGATATGTTGTCGTTTGACTCTATTAGAGACATAGTCATTCCAGGCATCTGCTTCATTTAAGCTTCGTCTTTCATGTCCAGCAAAAGTACCATGTGGACTAGAGACTGCAGAATAGTTTGAACACATAGAATGCAAATTCGATGGTAATAAATCATCAGTGCCGCTAACCCACGCACTTATTGATGATGACATTCCTCCAAAGTTAAGCACTTGAGAGTGAGGGGATAAATCATCATTTTCCACACATGAAAACACCATCAATCGATCAACACCCAAACTCTTCGAGGAAGGCAGTAGTGAATGTTGTTGATTTGTGAGCTTGATCTTCCCTCTGTCCAAGTCATCACTGGTTGCATCCGAGGAGAGTCTATTCTGTTTGAGGTTATTATTTGATGGCAAATTGCAATTCAAAGTTTGAGAACTAGATGTGACATTTGGAGCACTGGTTATGAGGTCGAATGACAGACCTAAGGCAACAGAAGATCTAGACTCCTCTGCAGGTTCTTCCTCTTCAGACACATTTGTGCTTACAGGTCCCAAATCCATCTCGCTGATCTCCTTCACCGTTTCTCCGGCACTTTTATCCTCTGTTGCAATGATGTCCTCTGAGTTTTGCGGAATTTCTGTAGTATTAACAAGAAAAATCAATTAGATACGGTCAGCAGATGATATTCTAACAATCTAAGAAAGCGATTCTCAAAGGCTGCTGAACTAGCAAAAGAATGAAGGGGGTCTATACAGATCTAATTGAACGCTAAAGATTAAACCCAGGATAAACGACACTCACGGTGTACTCTTTGAGCACAAGAAAACACGCAGATCGGCCTTCAAGACCTGCTACTTACTGCATGACAAGGTCAACTTGTATCAATTAAATAAAACTAAAGAAATCTCTATTACAACACTAAGCAGGTTCAGTAATCTTACTCCGATCATGTACCTCCGTCTCTTCTTCAGACTGTTTCAATTGAATTAACTCGCTATCATTTGGGTAATCCCTGGAAAAATCTGTAGGCACAGGTATTGCTCCAAGTGTGGGTGGAAAAATTGAACTTCTTTGAGTTTCCATGCAGACAGAGGTGCGGGTCTTCTTGGGGACTGAATGCGAAGTTGCTAGGATTGCAGAAGGGTGTTCCTCTATATTAGGTGCCTTCCGTGCACCTGATCTGCATGACAAGAAAACAAGGTACAAGTTAGACAATGTAAACTGAAGACGTGTTGAAATAGAAGACAGAGATATTTACACAACTGATGGATTTTGAAGACAACATCAGTCCATAAGATTATTTTATTGAAGCTCCACTTACTCATTCTATTTTATATTTCAACAGAAGATTATCATTGTATCTTTTCGAAATTCTTAACAAGACATCAATTTCAGAGGAGAAACAAGAATAAAAATTACATCGGTACCTGAAATCTGAACAGCAATACTGCTTAACAAGAAACTAAAATGTTACTTACCAATTATACAACACCTACATTTCAAATACTTTTGTTTACTACACAACCATGTAAAAATGGTTACCTGCAATAAAATAGCATATAAGCTCTCTGGGTAAGAACTTTGCCCAAGTCCACTTCTTTTACCTGCAAAAGAAAGTATTGAAGCGTAACCGATAAGTGCTGGTGCGGTCTCATGAACTCCAATTAAAACCTGTTTGGAAGCTTCCCCAATGTTAGATGCATTCAAGAGATAAGAACCCAGATGAGCTCCTATCCACGCTTTCAGTAATTGCTTTTGTATATCTATTAGTTTTAGGCGTTAGTAGGATTCCCCCAAGAAAAACCTCAACAAACTGCTCGCAGGTAATGACGTTGTACCTTCCTGTCATCAATCTTGTACCACACACCATTTGAATCCTTCACAAAACAGATATAATGTCCGAAAAATGAAGCGTTCAACATATCCACATGCACCACCACTGCGTACAGTCTGTAAAGAAGAGGATGGTCGTTGGCCCCACTCATATATGGAGACATGTCCAACACTTCAGGGAATGTAACTCTTTTGTTTAACTTTCCAAACTTTCCACTCTAGAACAGAAAAGCATGAAAACGCACAGTTAAACTACCAACTATGATCATGTCAGATAAAACATGGATCAAGGAACAAATATGTCCTGTTAGACAATTAACGGATACATATGGGTAAAATGTATAGAGTCCACGTCACAGAAGAAATCGTCCCAAGTAACAGAACTCTACACATCCACCACAGCTAAATCATAGAATAAAAATTGGAGAAACGAAATAACACATCCCAATTTAATTTCGAAGTTTAATCTCATCACATACAATGCTCTTCGTCATACCTGAAATCGTTTGAGTGCAATAGTAAGAACATTAGGTGCCTCATACACAGTCAGCTGTTTCCGAGCTCGCACATAAGCATTACAACTGCACGACCATATCACATCACACTGAATGAATTTAGTACAAGATATAAGAATCACTTCATCTCCAACACGTGATCAACACACACAACAAAGGAGGTTGACATTGGAAGAAAACTCACCGATCGCATTTGTATTTATTGTCACCATCCAGCATCTCAATCGTTGTAAATTGTGCAATGGCATCTTCCAAGGAGTCAACAACACCATGTATCTCCACGGCAAGATCCATCATACTCTCATAGCGGTTGGACTCATGGTGGCATTGCATACATTTGACCTGTAGTTGCACAGCATGATAATGATTTTTTAGCTTTCAATCCCAGTACAAAGTAGAATGTGCGAAACTTGAATTTAGTCTAACAATACATGACAACACACTTAACATAATCGTACAAGGGATGCCTGACGTCAACAACTTTAGAACTTAAGCAATGTAGGTAGTATTTAATGCACATGAGATTAGTGTGGTCCATTTGCACTTCAGTCAGGCTGAATACTTTGCAAGACCATGATAGACATGCCAAATATGGTCCACAACAAGAACCTGACCATTCTAGTTTTTAACCTGCACCAGGGAAATATCCAGAAGTTGAAGTTAATACCTGGGACTGAAGATGACCACCAAATATATGATGAATAAGAGTGGTTTCTTGAGTTGCAGGATCAACATCTTTCTCTCCTCCAAATTCATCCAAGCAGATGGATTGCATGGAATCGATGGCAAATCTGCAACATTCGGCCCCAACGCCACCTTGTTTCTATGCGAATTGGAATATCACATGATATTGAAAGAAGATCATGCATACTAAGGTCTATGGCAAAAACTGTAGAAGGTTTCATGGAAAATATTCTACCTCATGAACTCGTGAGCATCTTCCTGTCTTCCATAACCAAGGTGGTTGCCAATATTTCGAATGCGAGAGAGGATTCGTATTGGTGAAAATGGGTTTCGATTCTGCCTGACATTGTGAACATGACTTTGAAGCTCACACATAAAACACCAATCATTTCTCCTACCTGTTAACAACAAGAAAACGATCTCATGAGCAAAAAAAATCGCTTCATAGCTTAAAGCGTTTAGAACAAATAAAGACAGTTCACTTAGAGTTGAAAGATGGTAATAGATACATCTACAGAGGAATGGAACTTACAATCTTCCTCGTGAGAACCATTCAGTAGATACGCAGTAAGAGGCCGCGTATATGTCAGGCATTGAAGTACTACATTCGCAAAGCAACTGCACATTACTCGATAAAAGGAGCAACAATGAAACAATCGTTATCCATGGGTACTCCCGGAAAAATTAATACTGCCAGCTTCCTAATCTTTTTCTCTAAGGCATGGTTGACACAACGCTTAAAGAAAAATACTCATATTCCACAAAGTGCCAAATGCTGAAAATTATACCAGCTTCACTAGATCGCAGGTACGGCTTTTTAATACCTAGATTTGAAATCAAACTTTTAGAAATTCCAAGAACTTGCCACAGGCATGACTAAATGTAAAATGAAACCTGTCTAGAATGGTTCACGCGATGAAAGCTAGTGAATTCTGATAACGATATTAATACTTTTCAGACGAAATAATAACAAAACCCCCATAGCCTAAAAGGCATTACCTATTTCCACAATTGAGCAAACCACACGGTACACCCAGCGCGTCCCATTCAAACAGTTCCACGAAGTAGTCGTAAGAGAACAAAAGCTGCGGTGCACATGTAAAACACAACCATAGAGAATATTCAGGATTGACGGACCAGAGACATGTACGAAAAGGTACAGAGAGTCATCGCGAAAGAGTTGTCTAAAAGACAAAGACATTCGTGTTATCAATGCACAAATCTCTACTTTTGAATGATTTATTTGACTATATGCACACGTTCATAAACTTAAAATTGAACCGGGAACGACGGTTAAGATCCACGAACTAGCTTACCGTTTTAGGCCTTGAAAGGCTTCGAGCTTCTGCATGGGCATTACGAGAAGTCTTCGTCAACTGACTTGAGGATGACTTTCTACCAGCATCAGTCACCTTGGTGCTAGAATTTCTGGTGATTCGCAAACTTATAGGGCTCAACATAGTTGTAGAATCCACGCCCTTCGACGTCTCCAGATGCTTGCTATTGTACATGACCCCACTCTCACTTCCCACAAGCAAGCTAAGGCTGCTTGCTCCAGGTGTACGACATTCCTTCTTGTGGCCTCCCTCCCAATGAACCAGTTGACATTTAGATGAGCTGCGAGTTTAAAAGTATCAAGAGAAGAAAAGTAAGTAGGACGACTACCTATGCAAAAACACCTCATCTGGCGCCTTCAGGAATGATTAAGAAACGCGCACATCATAACAAAATTCAGGAGACACATCCCACTAAAATTCAAATTCCAAGTACATAGAGGCTTCGCGTCCTTGACTCGGACCCCTACTTGACATACAAGAACCCAAAACATCCCTAACAAATGTCGAAGCACTACCACAAAATAGTGAACTCCTTAGTGGTCAAGTTAGTTCAAGAGCTGTGATTCGAACTGGAATTCATCAAATGGCAAATTTTAGATAACTAATCAAAACCGCCCGCCTACACTTCAAATTTCAATGCAGGTATTCAAGAGATGGTAATGAAGAAATGCTGGAATAACAATCATAACTGCCTGAACAAAACACCTCCAAACTCGTGAGAAACTATGTCAAGAATTTGATATTGTCCAGTTAAGCCGCTGTAAAATATACTACGACCTTAAGAGAATATGTTTGTCGGGTTATGAACAAAATCCGCATACAGCGATGGACCTCATACAGCGATGGACCTATTGGTGTATGCACGTGCTCAAAAAAGCAAACTAAACAGCTGAGACTAGTATCATTAGTGTCTTGGAAGGATTCTATCACAAGGCACAGATGAGCTGCTTAGACGACTAAAAAAGACTAAACTACGAATGGCTGGCAACCGCAGAATAAATCGCGTTCCAGTTTATAATTTCTCTGGCTATGAAAGAAATTACAAGATCTGGCTGTGAGAAGTTGCCAAGAAGGGTGATTGCGTGCACCCTGCGGACGGACTTCTCATGATTGAGAAATAATCCTCATAGAGGTGCGTAACAATATACAGATGAAATCCGCTTCTAGTAAAAATGATGATAAAGCGGCCTTCGATTACCACGAAGAAGGCTGGGAGGGTGACGTTAACTACAGCTTTTCAGCGAGTCTGAGAAACATCACTAGTTGGGTTGAATGATTACAAATTGCGACAATGTTGGGGCGGTTGTTATCAACATTGCACTTTCACTAAAGATAGATTCAAGAGATAAATCACAGTATGGGAGATCAAAAAGTAAATCTCAATACCAGTATTTCGTCGACTTGCATCTTGAGCACCGGAGCCGAGTGGCAGGCTTCTGGCATACAGCACAGATACTTGTATCCAACATCGACTTCTGATCTACTTCAAATTCGGCTTCAGCCTCAGCACTAACTACAGCGGCGGCCCTAAACCTTAAACTCCTCCTCAATCTCTGATCAGTTCTCGAGGTCACTTGATGCGCAAATGCCAAAGACACAACTACAGTAACAACCAATGTAAACAAAACCACGGATATCTCTAAATCCACCCATCCATGCATCTAACCTGGGAAACTCTCCACGCGCCAGCACGCCTTACACACACGCATGCAACCTAAAGCCCTTCAATTCCACTATTAATATCCCGCCACCACTTCCACACATCAATTCAAACCACCATCAAACCTCCAAAACACTCCAAAACATCCATTATGCCTCCACTACCTCCGTCCACGAACTCAACAAAACCACTCCCATCCAAAACCTATTCCAAACCTACGAATCTCTTCACAGTCCTCCCTGGCCATGGTCACCCCACCCCAATCAATCCCCTCGCAATGCACCACCGCAACGATCGAGACCGAACAAGAACGACGGCCAACTCTTCCAAGACTTGCCTCCAATGTACAATGCATGAGTACTTATGAAATTTCCGCGGCATCAGAGGGAGTGATAGGCAGTGCCAGCGAGGAGAAGGATCGGAGAGGATTGATCGCAAATCCAAGTGTAACTACTGACTTTGCGTGTAACCCTAATTGATGTGGCGATGGCGAAGAAGCAACTGAGCGAACGAAGAAGGGGACGAGGAGGGTGCCTCCAAAACAAAACCATGAGAGTCGAAATTGAGAGCTCCACCAAATTTGAAAGACTATGGCTGCAGTCCCAACTTTTTACTTTCCCGGGTCCTGCTGGCCTTTTTCCGGGTCGGTTCTCGGCGATCCCATGCACGTTCCCAGATCCTTCGGGCAGTTTCGGGCAGCTGTGTAACAAAATTTTATTTCTGGAGGATGAGGAGATGGGTTGGGAGTTTCTATTTAAAGACGCACCTTTTGGTGGACTTTTTGGTGCGTTGGATAACAGTCGTTTGGATCTGTTGCTCGGAAAAAAAAAAGTACTTTTTCGTTTCATTGTTCCATCTTCTAATATTTCATATTTTTTGTACCTTTTTTTTTAAGTTACGGAGAATTGACTGATAGACGTCTTTGTTAGATGTTTTGTTCCAGCAAAATTATGTTGTACTATTGATTAATTTACACATTTACAAAAACATAATGCAAATACATGTTGAAACTATTAATTTGGTAAAAATTAATGATGGCAAGAAAAGGAAAAATGTCTTTGCAACAAAATCAGGGTTGTTAGAGTGAGAAGATGCCTTTACAAATATAAGATGAAAAAATCAATGTAGACTAATTTAAATATAATAACTTAATAAGTATATGATAGTCTAAGCAATTAATGCTAGAAGGAGATTATGAGGTATTATTTACTTCATGGCTCTTTGCCTTCTACTTCATACTTTATTTAAAAAAACAAATCTTTCTTATTGTAACATTCACAAGAACGTAACTTTATATGAGTTTGTTAAAAGTACATACATGTATATATATATATATATATATATATAGCTACATTTAATTATCAAAAAACTTAAAATAAATAAAATAAATAGATCAAGATTAAAAATAAACATTAGTTAGATTGAAGCTTGCTCTAAATTTATTAAATGTACACTAAACAACAATAATAAGAAAGAAAAAACATGTAGAAGTTACTTAAGCTCTATGAAGGCTGCTAAATAAGTTTCTAAATTAGAAATATTTTTTTTAAATATTTTATATAATTTAATCTGCTTCTTATAGAAATTTCTATGGTTGAATGAACTTTTAAACAAATCTTGTAAATTTAACCCATAATTGAAAAGATTTCACTATTATTCTTTACATCTATATATACACACACATATATATTACTTTATTTAGAAAAATATTAAATAGATCTAAGTTTTTACTAAATCAACCCATCCATCCTAACTATCATGAAAAAAGTAATGACCTTTAGATTCATTTTTCTACTATTGGATCTACAACCAATAAAAACCAACCACACTTATCATGATTACCATATTCTTCATCAAGGGTGGATCTATTTAGTAAAAACAAGGATCTATTTAAAATTCTTCTATATATATTATGATTTATTTTTTCTTATTTAATATCTTAACTACATGGTCAAATATTTAAACATCACCAAGGCTCTAAATTATTATATAAGGTGTCTTATGGGGCCACAAGGGCTAATCCTACTACTTAATTCCAAGGTTCCAAAATCCATGTGGCACTATTACACCCAATTTCTTACTAGATGTTTATTACTATAATTTATCTTAATAAAATATTTTATTTTGTTAATTTGATTGCATCATGGTATTTAAGTACAAAAAAATAGTCTTAGAAAATTGAAATTTTTAAAATTTTTGTAAAGCTCTCAAATCACTATAATGATATATAAAATTTGATAAGATTTTTTTATAAAAAATTAAAAATATATTCTTAAATGTATTAAATAGTTCTAAATATATCTTTAAAATGATTAAAACATAATGGTTTATTTTATATACTTTACTTATCTACCAAATTTCACACATAAGTTTCCAAAAAGTAATATATAAATTAAAGATAGCATTTTAGACATTGTTTCCAAAAACTAAAAAAGAATTACTAAAAAAAGAAAAAAAGAAAAAATATAATTTTAATATAGCATATATTTAATAAATTTAGATTTTGTATAGGTTATTTCAACCTTTTAAATATCTATAATATTTATTTAATTTTTTATGAATATATACATATATATATATATATATATATAATTTTAAAATATTTAATACATCCAAAATAAAGACTAATATTAATAAATATTTCTTTATTTTAAAAAAATTATTAAGACATAGTTAAGATGGCATTTTTTATTTTTTAGTTTGATTAATTTTAGATTATAAGTAGGTATTTTTAATAAATATCTAAATAAAATAAGTCTAAATGGTTTTTTTTAAAAGATAACTAGTATTCTTCTTACAAAAACTTAATAGATTACCTTAAAATTAGTAGAATTATGAGAATTAATTCTTTTTTAAGATTTTATTTTTAAAATTTAAAATTTAATAGAATCCTACGTTATTTAATATACCATTAAAGAATAGATATATATTTATTAATATTTATTTTTATTCCTATTGATAAGAATGCATATGTTTTAAAACAATAAATTAAGCTAGTATATAGATGCATTTCAACTATAGCCATAATACTTCAAAGAGAATAATTTGAAAAAACAAAAAGATAAGTTGAAAGACAACATATATTTTAGAAGAAGTGTGCCAAAGTTTTATAATTGATACCTAGCTTAGATCTATATATATATATATATATATATATATATATATATTACAAGATATATGTAAATTTTCTAAAATAATTAGAATATATCTATTTATAAACTTATTTTAATAATTACTATAAATATTTGAAAGACTAAAATATTAGAAACTAAAATTGATTTAGCCTTTCAAATATTAAGATGCTTAGAAATTAATTAGTCAAATTATAATACATTTTACTATTTTCTAATCATATATCATAATATATTGATATTAATTAGTGAAACATATATTCAAAAAGATGTATAACATATATATTTATATAAACTTTCATTGGTTGATTACAATGTTATAGTTATATATGTAAACAATTTTGTTTATAATATAGTCTTCGAAATGATAACAATAATAAGCTCTAAAACAAATAACTTTTTGTCTTATATCTATCTTTATTTATTTTTGCTTTCTCTCTTTTATTAAAATAAGAGTATGCTGTTGTTTCAAAGCTGTATTTAACTTTATGTCTTTAAAAAAAAATTGAATTTGGTGATGGAGTTGATTTAAACAAGTTTAATTAATATATTGAAAAAAATAAAAAAATAAATAAATCAATCAATAATAAATTACTATTATAGTGATGCATTTTATCAAAATATAAAGACACTATATTATTTAGATGACATGAAAATTTCACATCAAGATTTTAAGCTTAACAATATATTAATCCAAATATTTTGGATCTTACTAAGATCCAGATAATTGATGATTTTGCAAAATTAATCAATTTTAGTTTATCCAAAATTAATGTAAGAAGGTTTTGAGGACATGAATCAAGACGAAATCCAAATGAAAAAAATACTCATATGTTAGTGAAGAAAGAAGAAGGTTAGAAAAGAAAATATAATTATAAGCTAGAAAACAACTACAACAGATATTGCCAAATACAAAGAGACTAAGAAATCTGGAATTAAGACTAGAAACTCAATAAATGTGATGATAAGAGTGACAATGCCTTTAGTCTTGTCCCATATTTACTACCTATAAAGAAAGTTTCATAGAGATTTTTAGACATATTGCCCAAGCATTAAGTTGTAGGATACTTCTAACATAAATTTCTTAAAATATAAAACTTATGAGAGAAGTTTTAATAGCTATGTGGAATATTTATAAAAGTTAAAATATTTAATTCACATCTACAAAACTTCTTTGAAGCTTCTTAAAAAAGGCATTATATTTCTAACATGTTTCTACATGTTTCTACTTACTTCTATTTACTTATGTTTATTTTAGTAATATATGTAATAATTACAAAATAAGTCCAAAATCAATGTGAGAAGAAATCCAAATTTTTTTAAAAAATAGTTAAATATAAAATACTTTAAGATACATAACTTTAGAGGCTTTAAAATGTACAGCATAATAATTTAAAATGTGTCTTTTTAAAGTAGGTGCAAATCCTTTTGAAATGAAATTTTTTCAGATTCTTTCAAGGAAATATCTATTTAGTAATACATTTTTTAAAAGAAAAAAATGTTAAAAATATTTTTGAATTATAAAAATATTAATTTTTGCATTACAAATTAATGCTATCAAAATTTATAGAATCTTTCTTTAAATTATTTAGAACCAAAATGATTAATAATTTCTTGAATTTTTTAAATAATTTAAATTATTTTGAATCAATTTAATTTTTAATCAAAAGCTACTAATTTTTAAGGAAGATCAAAAAATTATTAAAAGATCATTAATAAATAAAATAATTATGATTGTCTTAGATGTTATGAAGAATAAAAATCAAATTAATAATTTTATGCTTAAAGTTGTTCTATATTATAGTATAGATATCATATTAATTGCATCAATAAAAAATTTGAAGGTGACATAAGACAATTCTATATAGATTTAAAAATTTAATATAGATCTACTTGATAAAGATGGAGGTTTGAATTTGTTTATAATCTTTTCTTTTGTACAGACAATAATAAAAAAATTTAGATTGGCAAATGAGTTATAAGATATTGTAATGAGCTGCCTCTAAGTTTTAAAGTTATTTGATCATTTTTGGGAAAACCAAAAAAGTTGAGATCCAAAAAAAGAACCTTGCACAAGTTAAGATGAAAAGAGATTTGGATAGAGATAAAGGAGAAAATAATTATAAGCTTTGGGGTATTTGAATAACTAGCTCTAATGACTTAAGAGTTAGCAAAAAAAATATTTTTTAACATATATATTTTTTTCTTTTGCAACAATATATATTAGAGAGATATACTTAAAATAAGAAAATATGCTTTATATATTCAATATCAAAAAAAAATATTTTTTATTTCTATTTGTTTTTTAAGTAATCACAATGGGAATTCAAAAATATTTATAATTAAGATTGGATATTAATTTTTAAACTTGATATTATTATTAAATAAATTTAAAAAATAAATATTTCTTTAATTATTCCTTTATATTTCTTATATATATAGTTATAAAACATATCAAATATAAATTATTAGGTAGAATGTATTCAACATTTTTAGATTAGAATTCATTAAAATTAAAAGAAATAAGTTAGAAAAAAATGTCATTTAAACTAATATATTATTTCTCGGATTTGAATTTTTGAAACTAGCAATAAGTATTATAATTTTTGTAAAGGTAAATAAAAGACTATAAAAATATAATATTACTTAATTAAAAATAAAATACTGGTTTTTTATATATTTTAATAATATATTCTAGATATTTTGATATAATTAAAAATAATTCTAACTTTTTTAGCCTTTGAGTAAATTTTTGTTAAAAGTTATCATTACTCAAGATTAAACTAAAATTTCAAGAAAAAATACAAAATAAAATTTTAGTTTTTAAATTTTATTTTTTCTGAAATTTATGAATTTTATTTTATAAAAATATAATATATTCTTAAATATTATTATTTTTAAATGATAATCGTTTTTATAAATAAAATAAAAAATATTTCAAAAAATATTAGTCTATTTTATGATATATTAAGTCTTTGGTGTAAGTTATTTAATATATTATAATACTAATCTTTTCGTCTAAAACAAATTTTAATATAAAAAATTTAAAAGTTTTAAATTATTTCTATACTTTAGTTAATGTTCTACTACTTATTTTGATAAAGATAATTGGTTTTCTCTCATAAAAATATAAGTAATAATATTGACAATAACAGTAATATATCTCTAATTAATTTTTTTAAAATAAAAACAAGTGATTGCAATAGATGGAATTGTATTAAAGGTTTTTAACTCATGTTATTGTTTAACTTTAATCTATGATATGCTTTAAAAGTATTTTTTTAAAAATATAATTATTATTGGTAAAAAAAATTAACTTGTAAACTTTTTTAAAACATTAAAATAAAGTCTTTTGAGAATATAATTCTAAAATAAAGTACAATAAAAAATTATTGAATTATTTTTTAAAGAAAAAGATATTATATTTATAAATTAAGAGTCAATGTTAAAATTTACAAACATTTAACAAAACTTTGCAAGTGGTTTTTAAAAAAATTTAAGAATCCATATAAAATTCTCTCTCTCTCTCTCTCTCTCTCTCTCTCTCTCTCTCTCTATATATATATATATATATATATAATTTAAAAAATGTATAATTTTTTTAATTATTATTTTGATTTTTTACAATTAAGACATAAGCTATTATAGTTAGATTCATAATAAAAGAATGATTTAGTCCATATTATGGTTTTTTTTACTTTATGCCATCTCAAAAATTAGACTTTTAGAAAAATAATTTTGTATCAAGCAAAAGATCTTTACAAGTCTTTGAATCATGACCTTTCAAAGTGGGTTTCAAGGTTTAAGGACCCTCTAAGTCAAAAACATTTTAACATTTTAAGAGATATTACAAGATATAAATATATTTTTAAAGTGTAATAAACTTTAGGAAGAGTTATAAGCCTTTGATCTTAACATGCTTAACATTTTATAATACTTAAATCATTGTAATTATTATTGGTACTATAATAATAATAATATGTTTATTTATTTTACAAAAATATACTAGGTATATTCTTAAATTATACTATTAAAATATAATTCCACAATATACAATTTGAAAATTATGATACCAACAAAAACCTTTGATTTATTTGTAATTCCACTAATTAAAAAATTATGTTTTGCATTTATTTACTGAAGTATTTATAATATTTATTTTTCATATTCTATTATAATAAAAAACTTATTTGAAAGATTTTCAATTGGAAATTCTCTATAAATCAATCCTAAATGTATGTAATTTTACATAATACTGTATTAACTTTGAACTATTGAAAAATATAATGTTATGCATATTTTATGAAAATATAAGGTCCATAAAAACATATGTGAATAAAAAAATCAACATAAACTATGATGCAATAAATTTACAAAATCTTAATTTATAATTTCAATAAATTTAACCAAGTTCATTAATTAATTTTATTATTATAAATATAATTTAAAATTAAATAAAAATAATTGTGATTATTAATATTAATATTTTTGGTACTTATGACGTTTAAATTTTTATATATATATATATATATATATATATATATATATATTTTTATACAAATGACATTTTATAAATAGTTTTTTTATTTTTGAGAATCAAGAGCATAAATTAATTGTGTATATATTTTTGTGTGCATGTCTATATTAAAAAAATCATAATTTTTAACAAAATCAATCAAAAACAAAATACAATTTTATTAAAAGGAACTCAAGAATAGAACTAGTCAAAAGTCCTGAAATTTGTTTGGCAACTTTATAGTATGATCCCAAGGAGCCCCAAGGGGCAACCAAATCCTTGATAGATGGAAAAAGATGAAATACAATCCCATAAACCCATAAATATTAGAAAACAATCTAGTTTCTTTTGACTAGTTTAACAATGGTTCTATAGAGAGCGCCCACAAAAGATGTTCGAAGGGGAGGAAGCACAAAAAATTTATTTTGCATTTATTCCTAATCTTTCAACAACTTGAAACCATTTCTCATCCAGTTCCGCCATTCATCCCACATTCTATCCACCCATCCATCGAACCCGCAAACGGAGACACGCAAGTTTGATGACTTCATCCTTACGAACGAACAGTCCAAGCGAACGCGGTTCCAGGTGGATGGGAACGATCCGTACAGTTCGATGATGTGCCACGATTGGCTCCGACCGTCGTGCATGGCGGTGTCCAATGGAGGCCCACCACTGAGGCGCTCCCGGACGCCACCACGTGGAACCCACCAAGAGCGTCTCTTGGAAAGGGGCTCAGGTGGAGGGCGAAGCTCATCCCCTTGGGACGGTGAAGGGCCCTGTAGGGTACAGTGCTGACCGCGGGCAGGCAAGCTGAGCCGAAACCATTAACGCTGTAATGCATCATGGTTGCCTCTTGTGGATTGTGTAGATTACCAATTTTTGTGTCAATTTGCAGCGGATTTTGCAAGGGCTAAGAGGAACGATCGGTAGAAAGCAACACCAGATTCTGTTAATCGTCACGTGGGGCAGTGTCGATCGGCTTCGGGGGAGAGCTTTGAGGGAGCCACTTTCACTGAGATGGGGATGCATGGGTCGCTTGCTCGCTTAGCGTCGAGGGCGCGGCTCTCCGTGTTGTCACAGGTTAGAGTCGATGGAGTGTTGGGTTATTGAGCGATTTGGGAATTTTAGTTGGGTTTTGTGGGTTTGTTTCAAGGGAGGGTGTACTTGTGTGATCGGTGACTGTGGTTTGAAATGTGTAAGAAGATATGAGAGATAATGGGTATTGGGGTTTTGGTTTTTGCGTGGACAGAGAGGAGTGGCATTGTCGTCGCAGCCGGTGCGAGGATTTGTGGCGTCGACATCTCATGCTGGTGTGTGCTTTGCCACTGAGGCCGTTTTTGAGACAGTGTAAATATGCTATATTGTTGGAGTATTTGTTGAATGGCTCCATTTTCTTGCTGTTGTGGTTTTGACTCCTCTACAGTTTTGGTCCAAACCACCCTGGACGGGGGGGGAATATGGGTGTAGCCCCACAATCGGTACGAGTAAATTGCAACTGCTAGGCATTTGGAATTTGATTTGTGTGGGCTGCACTGATTTTCCTATTTTTCCTTGGATTGAAATGTTAGTATGTGTGCTTATAAACTGTGAATTCGTCGTTTGATGCAGATGGGTTATCCCTTACGGAGTCAAGGTATGTGTAGAACTGTTTCCTTTCTTAGACCTCTATGCCATCCTTGACTCCTTTGATAGGAAAGTTGAGGTTGGTTCAAGGCAAACTTAGATGGCCCAAGTCACACTTAGTATCTAGCCCAAGCTTTACTTCTTTATATTTCTTTTTCTTTACATCGCAAATAAGCGTCGATTCGGCTTATCTATGGATCGGATTGCCATCTGTCCTGGTTACGTAGTTTAGGTGGATTACCGAACTTACACTGTGTTCGGTTCTAAAAATTCTTGTCCGGCACATTGCAGAGAATCATTGCTTGCTAACAAGCAACCAATCTGGATAGGATGGGCCAGAAATTACGCAGCAGAAGCAACTGCTGGTCAAGATGAGGCGCCTCAGGGTAATGTCCATGTCCTGGAATTTGGCACACACAAGACAGTCACAGCTAAACGATTTGCAGTTGGCACAAGTGGAGTACACCCTGATGAAGACCATGTAGACCCTGATGGCGAAGAGTACAAGGCGAAGGCCAAAGAAATACTCCAAGAGGTCGGTGAGAAAATAGAGGAGACAATGGAAGAGTCCCAAATTAAGAAACTACAGGAGAAGCTGGTTGCCACCGAGGGAATTGGTGAAGTGGTGCAGGATTTGTATAATCAGAAAGAGGAACACAAAACCGAGCTAGAACTCCCAGTCTCGAAATCTGAAGCTCATGGCAGTTCTTAGGTTTACTAACCCTTCCTTTTTTCTTTTGCAGTTCCTAGTGAGTATTTCATCTGAATGAAATCCGCTTTGGAGTTGCAGAGTTCATTGGCGTGTAATCTTGCTTCCTAGGTTCAGCCAATGTAACCTTGACTCGCAGTTGCATGTTTTGAAAACATGAATATTAGTGTTACTACGACATTCCACGAGAATGCATATCGATTCTTTTCAATTTTAAAAGCCCTGCTATGACGGAACTGTCATGACTCATACAACGTTTCTTTTGAAAAGCGATCATGCTATCTTATATACAAATATAAAGAGAGAGATTATATACACATATGGAGAGATTTGTCTCTCTTTTTCCCACTTATTCACGTTGTGCATAAATTAATTGGTAACATGCTTGAAATGGATTACGAATTTGTTAAACAAACACTTGAGATCAATTGAAAAATACAGTGTGATATCATGAATCTTTTTGTGGAAAATTATTATATCAATACTTATTAAGACTATTTTAATTATAGTAGTACACTTATTAAGTTTATAATGAATATATATGGGAGAATATCAAATTGATCCACTTAAATTTTAAATTAAACCACATGTTTGAAGATCCAATGGAGAGCACACCAAATTGTTCTAATGGAGGTTACATTACACCATAGCTTTGCTTTAGTCTTCTTAATTTCTTTTACCTTTAGTTGTTTTTATTAAAATAGACTATGCCTCATGCAATATGTCAATAGTTTAACCAACAATATCATCAATAAAATATAATTTCTACCTCCACCAAAATAGTTCAATCTCTCTACCATGGACCTTGAAACATGTGGATTGATTTAATATTCTTATATGCATATATATATGAAATGATGACATAGACAATGTATACTTTTATGGTTACCAATTAAATATATATTTTTTAATACATTTTAATAAAAATATTATTCATTGTAATGAACCCAATTATTGATTTGTAAATATGTAAAAGTTTTTAACAAACTTGTGTTAAAAATAATAACTAGTTTTAAAACAATTGAATAAAATTTTCAGTACAAAAGAAAATAATAGTTTGTAAGGTAAAATAATAAAAGATATATGCAGTTTAGTAATGACTAAAAGCATTCTAGAATTGTCTCAGTCGTATTAACAAACGATAAAAATTTTATTATTTTGAAAGTTACAATTACGATTCTCGTAAACAGTGCTCAATATTAAATATTAAAATTCGCACTTGTTGCTCCATTTGAGTAGCATGTTCGGAAATCAATAATAGACGGTTTCTTAATGTAAATGAAATAATATTATGGTATCTGATAACCAAACACTTACGACGTCGAAACTGACTTGAAGTTAATATTGTAAAAATAACCACATGGTCCTTAATGGAGCTGATCTCAATGAAGGAGGCTTGTTCAGAGAACACAGAATTTATATCAAGAATGAACAACCTATCTGGCAAATACTGCCTTCTGAAGACAACTCCAGTAGGGGATAAAAGCTGAATTCAACTAACCTATTACGATGAGATGATAGCTCGTGAGAACTAGTGCGACCAAGCACCAGGTTTCAGAGGCCTCAATAAGTTCTTCAGTTCGTGAACAGTGGCACTTCCACAAGAGGAAGGAAGATTTGAAAAAAGAAAAGAAAAAGAAGAAAAAAAGAAAAGAAAAAACCTGCACATTTCATAACATTGACACGAGTCATGCTGTGGTCTATGGCCATATTCAAAGCAATAAACTACATGCAACCAACCTGAAGCTTTTTCAGTGTGACTAATCTACAAAATCATTGAAGATGAACTTATCCAGACTGCTTAACATTCCATGAGAGGTTTACAACAGTTCTAAGAACTGTTATCTGCCAGTTGTGACCTGCGAATGCCCCAAAAAGCCTTCGGTCTGGTTTCCTTGGCAACAGCTGTGAATCGCCATCCCATGTGCTCAGTACAGGCAGAGCACTCGGCTAAAGCCCAGGCGTACCTGCAACCGAATGAACACAGGTGGTTTAAACAGCTATGCACGATGTCAACTGTTGATATCCGTTTTATGATTTTACATATTGAGGTAGTCAGTAGGCATCAATAAAAGCAAAATTCGTCGTACTTACCACACTCGACCTTATGCTATTGGAAAACCTCTGTTCGCCACCATCAATATAAATACAAACGGCAACTAGTACGTGATGAATATGAGGTAATTCATTAGGTCATTACAGTTCATGGTATCAAAAGTAACCAAATGTATCCTTTCTCATACGAAAATGAAATCAGATATTTACCAAATGCGAAACACGTAGAATCAGAACATCGCCCAAAGAAGAGATGACTAACCCAGGAAACCAGCTGTTGGCCGTCTGAGGCTGCCCAGCCAAGACGAGCCTACAAGCTCGTTGCAAAGTGAGAGTCTCGTGAACATAGCCATGTGCGTTGACGTAAGCACTGATGGGCCCTTCTGCTGACATCACAAGCATCTCACTACGCCTTGCTTTTATATCCTGAAAATACATAATTACCAGTTATGAACTGAGCCTCGAAGCATTCCCTCCGTCAAAGCTCCATATTGCAAATTCTTAACTTCAAACCGAATTCATAGTTACTCAAAAAAATGTTCATATATTAGATGTGACAGAATCCATAAAATTATTTTCAACAATTCTGCAACCAGCAAACTTTGTAGAGGCAAGCGTGTAGCTAAATCTGCAACAACACTGCAACATTCTTGAAACGTGCTCATATTGCAAGAGCATTACATGAAGGTTATTGACCCACCAAGCATCGTTTGCAGCGAAGCTGATCCATTGACTCCAACAACTCAATTTCCCGTCGCAGACGATACACGGTTCCATCAACTTCAAGAAGTTCCTGCCGGGTAGCATCTTGAAGAGGCATGTTACTGGCTATGTAATAAGACAGCAAAGAAGGTGTACGGACCATAGCTTCCACACGAGGAAGTTCGGCCATCTGCCTTAACATGTCTGTCAAAAACACAAGGACGTTACACTCTCTAGCTGAAAAACCAAAATAACCAATACTAAGACGAATTCGGGGCACAAAACGAACTTATGTAAAGAGGAAATTTGAATGACCCATTAATACTTATAATTCAAAATCCTTTTCACTGATTGACTCGCAGAGAAAAACGAATGACCTGTAGATAAAAATTCCTGAACGATCATTTGAAAAACGACGTTAACGGAACGAAGTAACAATCATTATTCAGTACACCACCCTAACTCTTTGCTCCTGTGGTATGCAATTGGGTGCAAGAGACCGCAAATCCAATTTGGATACAATCATACCAGCAGCTCTCCTTGCCAAATCATAGGCATCAAATTGGCGGTAGACCCAATAAGGCCAGGCTGATCGCTGGGCTTTGCATCTCCATTTCCCTGCATCAGCAGCCCAGGCCTTCCAACAACCACCACGACCACCTTCAGGAGGCCTTTTCACACTCGTCGAATGCCCATTAGAGATTCCAGAAGGCTCTCCAGGGTACACACGTCGTTCATTGCTATGTAATGCATCGCCTAAACGCAATTCTCCACTTGATTCAGGTTCTTCACCTCTATCATTTCCTACTTCAAAATCGTCAAAGCTTCTTCGACGAACTCTTCTTCTTCGAAACCACCATCTCAACCTCTCCCTCTCACTGCTTTCATCTTCTCCCACTACTCTTTCCAGAGCCCGAAGAAGCTCAGTGCTCTCACTTGCAAATCGTGTCAGCCTTCACAGAACAAAGAACACCAGTCAACAACGAGGTAATTTTGCAGTAAGCCACAATTTTCATGGCACTTAGTTCGGTAAATAAACTGCCAACTTCATATATGCGGAGTCTTAGAGCCAGAAATTTAGATGCAACAACTATACTGGATTCTGGAACCATGCTTAATATAAACTTATTACAGGCGTCACCATTTAAGCACTAATATCAGACTGCACGAAGCCAGGTTCATAAACGTTCATCTATTTTCGATTCGAATTGAAGGCAAATAAGACCTTCAAACTGTTCAAGAAGAAAGCTTGAGACCTACACTAATTTATGTTCTAAAATTTTAATCTGTATACACGTAAAGACATAATTAGCAATAGGTTCGGCGGAGTTGCAAACAATGTTCGCAGCATCGACCTTCGCAGCAACCTTGCTTCAGGTCCAGAATCGGACTCGAAATCATCAGAACCGTCAACATCAGCTTGAAGACCTGCCTCATCATCGCTTTGCTCATGCAGAAGTGAAGATGTTGTAGCTGCACGAGGGACTTTGCCGCTGTGGAAGGCAGAAACTGCGGCTAGGTGGCTGAATGCATCTCTTGGAACATGCAAAGGAATTTTCTCTTCGATAATTTGAACTTGAGCAAACAACTGCGAACGCATCAGTCAAAATTCATGAGTTGTCAAAACAATAAGTATACCATAACCCATATATCTGAACAGTCCAGAGATCATCATAAGTGTCTCACACAAAAGTTATAACAGATAAATTCTCCGGTCAATTTACGTAAAGGAGCTGTGTTGATTCGAGAAAAGAAATAGAAATATAAAAACTGAAGGAAGCTCAATGGGCTTGAGAGCTAAATCAAACTATTGAATTTGAAAATTTAAAGATTCAAGAAGGTGTAAGAGACTACTTCCAACAGCAAAACTTAACCAAGATACCCTATGTCAAACGAAATATCACAGACCATCCAGAGTAAATCGCCGAGAACAGCAACATTGTGAGATGCACTACTAGGATCGTCGAACTAAAAAGGACAGCAGGGAAGGAGCCACATACTGCTCCATCAGCTTCAGTCCAAGCTTTGCAGACGCGGAACCGTTGGCGACCCTTAGTTACCACATTTATGGAGCCATCGGTGAGATGGCGTAGTTGACGAATCTGCAAAATGAATCCCATAACATCAATTAAGCTTTCAAGCTGGGATACCTTGAACATCGGTGAAACTAGCACCAAAAATAACGATGAATATATATAAAAATAAGAATTTCAACACCTAGTAAAGTCAAGGTCGTGTCAAACTACCAGAATCAACAACAGAAGGCAAGCATCATGCAAAAAGAATGGTTGAGCAACAAAGTAACAGACATGTTCCATAACTTAATCACACTTACTTCAGCAGTCGTCCCAATAGATGCGACGTGGACATGCCCATCTCTTGCTCGTACATGTATCACACCAATTGTATTCAAAGCTTCGTCATTTCGCATAGCTCTATCTACTGCAGCCTTAAATCTTGGTTGCAGAACTCGGAGCGGTAGTGTATCTTCAGGGAATAATACTATCCCTGCACGTGTCCATATCGAATCCAAAAGTCAGGCTCCTCATGACAAACTAATTGTTCTGCTCAGAGTGCCATTAAAATCTTCATTCATAAATAAAATGATCTCTAAGCTACAAAATTCAGAAACTTACCTTCCAGATAGAACATTGGCAGCGTAAGGAGCGCACCACCATCGGCAAAGGAGCGACTACTGTGTACATCATCGACCTCTGCATCATGACATCAACAAAAGCTTACATGAGAAATTATTTATTACGCTTCTCTAAACGCTATATAACACGAAACAAACCTGAGCCTAAAAAGCGACATTAATACGCTGGTCAGAGCTAGCACACACTGCCCAGCGGACAGATACGAGATATTACATTAATTTCAAAGGCTCATACGCCTAGAAACAAGTTCTGAAATCTCTGGATTTCGCAACCAGAATGCCGAAGACTCACATCACTCGTACAGAACATCGACCGCGCGACAGAACCAAGACAATGTTCTTATCATAATGCACACTTCTCTATAAAAATCAAATGTCTCATTGACCATGATGCAATAGACGGAGCACATCCAAGCCATTACACAAGTCTACCTCCTAAATAAGTGTGCATGGAAGCCAAGTTGGTGTCGAAAGTAAATCCACCCATTTGACCACCGCCTCCATCCCCTCGTCCACCTGAACTGAACCCAGCCACAAGCAATTCCGGATGTAAGACCAATATAGATCAACTTTCTAACACTTCAATATCTTCAGATTGACTATGCTAATAGACTGCAATCACCATCTATATTAGACTAATCTGTGCCAGACATGAACCTGTACTCAAGCAGACCGGTTATCTCGATGTCATTCTTATGAAAGGAAGAGAGACTAGTTCTGATTTGCGCCCGAGTGAAACATTGATAAACATCGTAACCTGATTTACGTCTCCAGAATTAGGATGATGCAATAACTATTCATTAAACATTCGTGCGAATTGGGAATCTGGCTTAAGGCTTTGGTCATTAAAATTTTCAGCATAAATCGCGAAGATCAAACTCTTGGCATGTTTAACCGAGATTGAATTTTTCTTCAGCCACATGCTAGCAAAGCTGTAACTATCTGAAGTCAGTGTAAAGCATCAGTAGCAGCAGCTCGAATAGCAGCAATATAAATTCTGTAACGATCGTGAACAGTGTATGTACAACCTATATCCAACAAGGATGCGATCCTGACATCAAATTAAGGTATCAAACTCAGGTTCATTAGCATACCAGACTAACAAACTTTGCTAAAATGTCAATTGATGTTCAGGACTTTCATCGAGAAAATCAGGAGCGTTGATTCGAAGTACGACAACCTCCAAAATTCAACGGTTCATAAATGAAAGGTAATCTTTTTCAACTAGTCCTGATATTTTTTAATAGGAATCTTTTGAGTGACTCAAGGAATTGAACATCAACACTCTTCTTCACATATATACTCATCCTGAGTGGCTCCCCTTCATCTTCATTATGCTTTCAATCTCTAAAATGCTCTACCGCCACCTGATACGAATTGTTGAAAGAACATTCTACTGAAACACACCATCCTACAAGACAATACAGGTTAAGATCAATCTCGGTGTACAGGAGTTCTCAAAGGCATCACTATTCGCAACTTCCAAAAGCGTAGAATTGCAGCTGAGAATTCCAAGGCTCAGGTCCTTTATACCCCTCCGAACAGAACCAGAATGTGCAAGACTAAGACTTTGACCTAAGCCATTGAACTACGCTAAGGACGAGCATTCGCGGACCGAGAGAGATGGTCATTACAAATTAATTCCATTAATTGCGATCGAACTTTGAGACCTACATTAACACACGAGGTCGAGCTCGGTTACGATTACAAATGCCCTGAATCTAGTTTGATCACAGCACGCCTCGAAGTAAATAGAGTCAAACGATCTTAGAAATGTTAATTAAGTGGCGCAAAACCCAGTTTAATATTTAAAGGAACAATTCCACGAATTCGCCAGAACACTTTACAAGCATGGACGTGTTCCGCGAGAGGAGGAAGAAGCTGTAAAGCTTCAAAAATCGGAAGCGTGGAGGGAGGAGCGGGAAAGATAATGTCCATTTAATCATATTCATAAATCGATAGAGGGCACTAGCCAAAGTTGACGAGAATCCGACCTCGATTAGACGTTACACAGGATGTACGAAATCGATGGCCAAGGTCAACAACTAAGACCAATGTTTCATTGAGGCCGGCAATCGCTAAGGAATAATAGAGGGGGTATCAAGGGCATTGATGCAAGCAAAAACCTTGAGTCATTGTAACTGAGGGAATGACCAGCTTCAGAATCAGCTTCCTCCTCTAATGGCTCCATGTCCAGCTCACGGATTCTTTGCATTTGAAGGAGCTCATTGCGCGGCCCTTCATCCGCGACGTTATTTTCCAAAGGAAGAACAACTAGGGCGTGAGAGTCGTCTACAGCTCCAATATCTCCTTCATCCATGCTGATATTGTAAAATCGGGGATGAGCTCAAGCTTCTGCACCCTTGCCGTCCAAAATTTCAACCGATGAAGTTTCCAAAAAAATTCCACTGTTTCACATGTGTCATTTCAACTTCAAAATTGATATTCCTCCGATGCCTTCAGTACCACTTCAGCTATGGTCTCACTTCCAGCAAGTGAAGTGCGGTTTCCAAAGGATAACGCTAATCCGAGGACTATGGCACTACGGCCTCGTCCGGCGCAGAAAAATTTTCACTGACTTCGTTAGATTCTAAGCCTCCACTGTGTGCCTACAATCGTACACCATGGGGCAAGGCCTAGAGCACTAGGACCGGAAGCAACACAAACCTCCGCGCTCACAGTATTGGGAAAAAAAAAAAAAAAAAAAAAAAAAAAACTATGTATCAATCAACCTATTGAATCGCCCCCTTACAACAACCTAGCTCCGTATTCACCTACAATCTTAGTACTCAACCCGCTCAGATCCCCGATTCACTCCTTCCCTTACTAAAACTTGCAACAAGGTCTAAAGCTTCTTTTACACACCGAAGCTGAAAGTGAACAAGAGGAGAGGACCAGAAGAAGCTTCGATTCCTCTACCATGAACCGAGAAAATAAAATACAATGAGCCACACCGCCTGGGCCCTACCGCGCTCTCACCGACGCACGACAATATCCACGCACATCATTCCAGCCCCGCTCCACAGCACGCATACGGCCAAGCTATCAAAAAACAAAGACAGAAACAAATAAAGCATAAATCACGATCCACTTATTTATACCAACAAATTCACTATCCCACACTGTTTTGCTTTCACAGAAGGCTCCCTCTCCGCACCTCCCTCTCTCCCGACCATTCCGGCCCGCCTCAATCTCACAGTCCCCTAAACCTGAAAACAACAGAAACAACCGCGATAGAACTATATCCATAAACGCCTGAAAGCATGATTGCGCCATGCAGTAATCATCGCGCTCTAAGGTAAGCGACTAGGCTCTCCGACTCCGGCTCTAGCTCGGTCCTTGTCCGCTCTGTCTATTCCTATTCCTCTCCCTCTATGTCTCCCCTTTCGTCCCCATCGCCGCAGCTACACCGGGACGGCAAAAGCCTGCATCCCACTGTAGCAAGTTCAGAGTGAGAGCATGGTTAGCAATTAACTTACACTGAGAGCGCACTGAGAGCGCACCGAGACCCCATTCATACCGCGCTCTACCACACAATGCAGTAGGGGGGGCGTATATTGTAGAGCTCAAATACTACGAATACGTATTGTAATGCCATTGACTTTAAAGAAATTGTAGCTTTTTAACCTAAACATTTCTTGGAAATTCGAAATTATCTCCTCTGATATGGGTGACCATTCGATGACGTGGCTGACGATTTGAATGTTGCTCTCCCGTCACTCTCATTCAGGGCGCCCCAGGTTGCCTATTAAGGGGTTCTGCCACGTAGGATGTGGGCAGATTTTTCCTTACTTCTAATAGCATTATCTTTTTATTTTTACTTTGGGAATAGTTTAGAAATTACACTAAAATAACTCCAATCTCACTATAAAACTCAACTTTGATAGTTTCTAAAAATATACACCTTATTTGTTCATGATCTACTTAATTTAAAAAGATTTTATTTTAAAAGAATTATTTAATAAAAATAAAATAGTATAATTTTGATATAATTTTAAATACATATTAATATAAAATATCAATATAATAACAAAAAAATAATTTAGCTATTTTATATGATACTAAAATAATAAAAATAATAATATAATATTTATATAAAATAACTACAATATATATTTTTATTTTTAAAATAAAAACAAAGATGTCTAAAAGACCAATCAACTTTATAAAAATAAATAGAAATTTTAAGAATTTATGAAATAGTTAATAGTTACTTTCCAAAATATAAATTAATCATAGAATATTTTTTATAAATATAGATATTTCTTGGATTTTAATCCAAATTATAAAATCAAAATTTACACTCAACAAACATGGAAGATGTATTAAATAAAAAAACAAAAAGTCATGGATAGAATTATGCAAGTTATTGCATTATATATGTATGTTGGAAATTGCTTAAGATTTTTTTTTTTTTAATATTTCCACCAAAAAGCAAATATACAAAAAAGTGATTTCAAAACTTTCTTTAGTATTTTATAATTCTTATTTGTAGCATATGTACCATCATATTTTAATAAATTTAAATACTAATAAATCTTAAATAATCTCTCTATATATATATAATATGATACATTTTATGAAGTAACTTATAAATTAAAGTATATATAATTGAATAATTATTTCAATAAATATAATAATAAATATATTTTTTTTATAGGATGATCACAAATAAATTTTATTAAAATATTACTTTTATGTTCAGCTTAATCATGATTTTCATCTTTTTTTAAACAATACAATCTAATATTTAGTAATTTGGAGGATTTTTTGGCAAAATTTTGATTCATGTATGGAGAACATGGTACAATTTGTGTTGCAACCAACAATATTTGCATCTTGTGTCTAGAAAATTATTTAGTATTGCTATATGTTTTACAATTCTGTCAACTTATAATTGATATCAAGTGAGATGATATCACACTCGTAAGCTAATTTTTCTATTTATTATAATATGAGGTAAAAAAATTGATGCTAAATTTATTTAATCCACAAACATTGAGTCAAATAATTGATTTTGCTATAAGATATGACAATTGTCTTTTTATATTTTAATTTGAGAATTGCACAAGTATGCGTCAATACCAATGTTTTTTCAACACAGACATTTGGAAATAAAAGACATTCAAATTGATGTAGTACATTTTAAATTTCTTATTGAGCAAAGAACAATTTAACGTTGTGAAGAATGATTGTGCTTATATTGTAGAGAATCTAAGCACATTGTCCAACATTTTCCAAAAGATCAATGTAACCTAAAAATAAAGAGTATGGCTATTAAAGAAGATAATATGTCAAAAAATAAATTTATCTAATTACAATAATAATCGTTTGGCTGAAATCTTATACAATACTTATTAAAAGTCATATTCTCTCCTCAAAACCATCACCTTCTTTTACAATAGATATTTGTTCAGAACCTAAAAATTACAAAGCCTTTGCTTTCTAAAATTTAAGAGTCTCAAATTGATTTTTAGATGAAGACTTTGTTAAAAAAAAAAGAATATGATATCATTAAGAAAGACAATTAAGTATATACATATAGAAATAAAAGATGGTTGTTTTTTGTCTTCTAAGAATGTTATTCATAAAACTATTCTTAAATGTAGCAATAAATGATCATAATATCTTGGTGGTATTTAATATTATTATAGCCTATTCTAATTTAGTCATTTTAGGTTTATTTTAGTTTTAAAATATAATCTTTAAATAATTTAAATTTCTTAAAATCTTAATTATTTCCATAATATAATCAAGATTTTTGTTAATCAAGTAAAAACTTATAAATTTGATACAATAAAATCTTAATTTATAAGTGTAGGAGCTATCATATATGTTACATAAGAAAAGTCATTTATTATTATTTATGTTATATCTATTTTTAATAATAGAAAGACTTCTAGTGGCATTTTAACTGAGTATAAAGATTATCAAGATGTCTTTGAAAAGAAGAATGCATATATTCTTCCAAAATATCATTTTTATGATTATTCAATTGATCCTTCATGAAGAAGCTTAACTGTCATTTAAACCAATCTGTAGCTTATCACACAATAAATTGGCTTTACTCAAAAGATACATAGATGAAAACTTGGCCAAGAACTTCATATGCCATTCAAAATTTCTAATAAGAATTTCTATCTTGTTTGTAAAGAAAAAAGACAGATCACTACAATAATAATTGATAAAACATATAAATTATCAACAACTCATTAATTTTACTATTAAAAATATATTTCTTTTATATTTTATATTAAAAAAATTGATCAAATAAATTTAAAAAATATCTATATAAAAATAGATATATAAAGAGCATATAACTTGATATGCATTTAAAAAAGGAGATGAATAGAAGATTGCTATTTGAACCAAATATGGGCATTTTAAATATAATATCATGTCTTTTTGACTCACAAATATATTATTTATTTTTTAACATCTAATCAATAATATTTTTCAATATTATTGTTTGTTATTTTGAAAAAATTTAAATCTATTCTAAGAAGATAAAAAAAATTAAATTTTATGTTTGTAGTATAATATAAAAACTTAAAGATGTAAGATTGTATGTCAAGATAAAGAAGTGTGTATTTTTTATAATTCAAGTGAATTTCATAAGATATATCATTTTAAATGATGGTCTTATAATAGATTATAAGAAAATTTAGACTACTATGGATTGAAAGATTCTAAGAACAATAAAAGAAGTCTAATATTTCCTGATAATTATCAATTATAATTAGATTTTTATCAAGAACTTTTTTCAAGTTGAAGCTCTACTTATATGTTTGATTTGCAAAGACAAACTCAAGTGGAATAAAGAAGTTGAAGTATCATTTGAAGCTTTAAAAGCAATTTTTATTGTAGCACCAATCTTATATCATGTTAACTTTTTCAATTCATTATTAAAAAACAAACGCATGAAATTTTGATATAAGTGTGGCACTGTACCATATAAGAGCAAATGACAAACTTCATCATGTAGCTTTTCATTTAAAAAAACTTTTAGTAGCTGAAATTAATTATAAAATTAATAATAAAAATTTCTTTTTTAATTGTAGATTTATTTTTAAAATAGCACAATTATCTTGAAGGCACTTTAGTCCAATGATTTTTTATATAATTCAAAAAAATCTTGAGTATTTTATATTAACACACATTTTAAATTATTATTGAGCCCATTGAAATAAGTTTTTATTAAGATTTGTATTCAATATCACTTATTGTCTATAAAACCAATTATATTTATTAAATATCCATTTTAAGTATTTATTTTGAATAAAAAAATAGCCTTTAATCAATAACAAATAATTCTTTTGAAGCCAAAGTAATTCCATCTTTAAGTAATAAAATCAACATTAATTGTTAATTCAATATCTCTTGATTGTTTCAATGAAGTGTATCATTAGATCCTATTGTGTATGATATTAAAAATAATTCTTCTAAATTTCATGATATTTCTCAGCTGAAATTTAAAAATAATCTTCTCTATTTTGAAGGATGCTTATATATTCCAAAAAATGAAGCACAATTACAAGTTCTTTAAACTTATTACAACTTTTCAATTGTAAGATATTTTTGATAAAATAAGATCTTGGAATTAATCTTAAAATATTTTTAGTCATCTCAAATATAAAAGATAATCAAGGAATTTGTACAATCACATGATATTTGTTCAATATTAAAAAATCCTTGTCATCAACCTTATCAACTTTTCTAATCACTACTTATATAAGAACAACCATAGTCTTTTGTTTCTATGGATTTTATCATTGATCTTTCAATCTTAAGCTCTTATATCTCTATATTTATGACAGTAGATTGTTTTACTAAGATGGCACATTTTGTACCATATACAAAAACTATTACAAGTCAAGAAATAACTATATTTTTATATTACTATCATAAATTATCTAAAAATATTATATCAAATAAATAAGCTATTGAAATTGTGACAACTTTTAAGACTATATAGTAGACATGAAGATCTTCAAATAGTAGACATGTTCTTCTTCAAATAAATGTCAATATACATAGTGTCAAGTAGCACAGTTTTAGAAGAAATTTTTAATATTTGGTGATATTATTAGATGTAAGAACCACATCTAATGGTATTACAAATGTTTAATTAGAAGAAGGTTATGTAGGCCCCAAAAATGATCAAGTAATATGGTAGTATTTTCATTTTATTATATGACACTATTGATAGTTGAGTGGACCTATCAAATAATTTTTTTTAAAATAAAGATTAAAATATGTAGCAAATATAATTTGTCACAACTTGAACTTCATCAATATTTAATTACTACTACAATTGAAACTTGTTCTTGAAAGGAAGGATAGTGTCACAGACATACATATTAATACCAATATTTACTTAAATAAAAAGAATTAGATAGAAGTAGATGAATTTAATAATAGCTTATAGACAAGCTTTTTAAAGTTTTATAGATATAAATTTAAGTTTTGAAGTATTTGTAGGTGATTCTTATATTAAAAACTTAGTCAACAAACTTGTCATGTGTTGTACATGTTGACCACTTGCTTTACAAGATAGCTATGTGAGACATATATTGGAAACTTGTCTTATAAATTAAATACATGTCCTTTAAATTAGATATGTACAAAATGATTATAAAATATTGACATGTATATTTTTAGTTAGATATTATATCTAGAAGCAAGAGTGAGGCTTATTTTTTGCTTATCAATTACTTTCTTGCTTCTAATCTAGTTTCAATGTCACGGCCATAATCATGTAAGCTAATAATTACATATAGAAATTAGTAAAAATTAATAAAAATAAATAAAACTAATTTAATTGTATAATATTTAATA